GGTCTGCTTATGGGACAATGCTACTTTGGTTGCCTTCTATTCCAGGAAACGAATAAGGGAAAACCCGGCAAGTTGTGCTGGACTGTTCAGCAGCTTTTGATACTCTCCAGCCATGGTATCATTCAGAGGTGGCTGTCTGAGATACATGGCTGTCTGACTAGGAGACACTGCTTCATGCTGTCTCCAATCCTTCTTGAAGGAACCATCTCGGAAGATATTGCTGATTCCTGTTTGACACTAGGCAATAAGCCCCTGGTGTCTCTCAGGGTCCCATCCTATCCCCACCCTATCTACAATGTATAGGAAACTGCTCCAGAGTTTGGGGTTCCAGAAATGCTATGTTGGAGACAGCTGTAACTCCTTGGGACACAAGATCATCTTCCCCCCCAAAACTGAGGCTCCTGCTGTGAAAGGAATGAACTAATCCCCCCTGCCTGCTTTTGCAAACAAGGATCACTCTGGGGTTTGGAAGACTCTGACAAACAGGCTTCTGTCTTCTGTTGAAGTTTTCCAAAGGAATTTACCTTACTTCCACCCAGAGGGGTCCTGGATTGGGTGGGTATCTGCCCATTACCCACCCCAGGTTCCCCATTACTGCTCCTTCATAACTGCAATAATCCAACGCTATTTTAAAAATGAAAATAATTGCATAAATGGGAGGAAGCATTTAAAAACTAGTTTGTGATCAGCTAGCTTTTGCCACGTGAACAAAAAATTTAAAAGGAAAACTCAAGCTGTAGTGAGCCCAAAAGTGCTTACAGTGAGGAGGGTAAGCCAGGCCCAACCTACCACAAGCCCCACTTGGGAATCTTAGGGGTATTGGCACTAATGCATTTCCAGGAGCCCCATGGTAAGAGCAGCAACTGTGGCACTCTGTGACTTATGTCATGGGGTTTGTGATTTATGCATGAAATAGATACATTTGTTACATGTATCTGTGCACAAATAAGCATGCACAGTCCATCAAAGGTTCCACTGAAGCTTGCGACTGCTAAAATGAGGAGTGTTAAAAGATACCCGAGAGCCATCTTTCCAGGAAAAAGAAACTAAATGGGTTTAAAAAAAAAAAACCTGCGGCAAGCCAAAAACTACCATGGCAGAGACGTCATCACCTGTTTCATAGTGATACTTGCCCAGCAGCTGCTCAGTAAGAGCGACAGAGGGTTTTTGCTGCTTTTGCCAAGCGGCTCTGTAGTATCTTCTACAATGGGTTGTGTCATCTGAGGCACTCTCTGCTACAAGTCATGGATTGTCAGGTTGGGCATTGTGAGTTCGCATGACACAATAACCCACCATGACTTATCAACTGTGGTGAGCTGTCATTTTGTGTGAATTCATTGGAAGCAATGAGAAAATATAGCTTAAGCTTGTCAGATAATCTAAGTGGCTCCACTACTTCCTGGGCATATACCCGCACATACTATAATGCAATATATTTCATCAACTGCATCAAGTACCTAAAAGCCACTTACATTAGCCAAACAGGACTTTCTGTTTATTGATATTCTTATGTTTGATGCCTGATTTGGACCTATCTTTTCATCTCCCTGGACCTACTATCAAGGACCTCAGGTGGGCAGTTCTTAAGAAATTGAAGTTAGGGGCTCACTTGGAACATGAGACCGCAAAACAAGAAATGATAGAGGAATCTGACTATACAGTCCAACAGCTGCCAAAACCACTGGATAGCTGGTCTACATTCTCAGGGGAGGGAGCAGACATTGCTGGGCACTGGATCTGCAGTGCTAGCACTTTACCACTGTGAACAGTTAGAATGGTAAGAAGCTAAAACAGAGAGTGCCATAAATAGCAGGTGTTTGCAAATGATTCTCAGTCAACTGAGCCATCCCAAATTTGACAAGTAAAAGCCAATCATAAGCAGTCACAAATCTGTCTGGCAACCATCTCAGTTTGAAAGACTAGATAAACAGGGAAACAGATGACAAATGAAGGGAAGTCCAGAAGATGAGGATATGCACTCCGTAATGAACTATTTTGTAAAATATGGTGAATCGAAGAAGAAACCCTGACTTTTTATAGCACCTAATTCTATATCTGCTGATAACTACATGCTGTTTACTGTGAAGATATGTACATTATCTATTTTGGACCAATTGAAAATATATTTTAAAAACTTGAGACCAATCAAAATACTTAGCCGAAATTGGGTTAACGAGAAAGACACAGATTATTAAACCTTTCATGAATTTAATGAATTTAAAGCAAAATCCTTCTTGTGACATATTTGCATAGTGTCATGTAGTCATCCATTTGAAGGTGGAAGAAAGATGAGATGGAGATTTGAGATTGGATCTCCAGGTCAGGCTTGGTTCTGTTCTCCCCCGTCCCCACCCCCAGCTCCATTTCCTTTTAAAGCAGAAGGAGGGCAGAATTTGATCAAGACAGCAGCACTGGGGAAGGGCAGTTAATCCCCTTTTCCCAATTTAAATCATTCCCCTTTCCAAACTGTATTTGCCTCCATATGTTCTACCTAATGGGGAAAGGAACTGCTTTGGAGAGGATTTAGACTGGGAAAATAGTGCTGCAGGGGTGGTAAGGCAGGTTGTTAACCCCCTGCTCAGACAAAATTTGGAGGCCCCTGCAGCTGTTCTTAAAAAGAACTGTCTGCTTTAATTTCTGAGATTTCTAACACCTGAAATTTATTTACACCTTATAAATCCTTTATTTTTGTTTCCACAGGCTGAAATGCAGGAGATTTTGGGGCAACTTTCAGATTTTGATTCACTTTCTGTGACACTGGAATATAGTTTCTTGTTCTCACTTTGTTTTGCTTGGGACTAGTTAAGAAAAAGGGTCAGACCTCCGTCCCCTAGATATAACTTCAGAAAATAGGTATTTAATCCTTATGAGCACTTTCTTTTTTGCCATCTTTGGACATGAAGTATGTATTTCAGCCAAATACTGAAATATTGAATATTTCAAATATTGAAATATTCTGTTCTTATAGAGCCAATACAAAACATTCTGGCTTCCTGATAAGACTGTTTGTTAGCAATATTAAGCCACAATCCTATGCAAGTTTAGTCAGAAAAGGGTTGGGACATGCAGGGAGTTGTAGACTTTTTCCCCTAACTAAACCTAGATAGAATTGCACCTTAAATTGCTTTACATTCTCATGCTTTTGTTTATTACCTAAATCTCATGTAGGCAATCTGTATACAAATACCTGGCACTAAATTATTTACTTATCAGGATTTACTTCTGAGTAAACATGTTGCTAGATTATATATTGTGTTTATGCTTATGAAAAAATGTGCATTTTGGTTCCAATAAAGAAACAGAGATATCTTCCATTGTCTAGAAAATTTAGAATGGCCAACTACTAGCATTGCTGTGGATTTCTAAATACTTAAAGGAAAGTGTAAACTATTTTTTTCATTTTTAAAAAACTTAGTTGATCTCCTCAGTTTCCTCATATGGCAATTTAGCATACACTGTGTCTCACCAGACAGTTGCTAAGTATTACCACATTTAATAGGAAAAAAAGTAATAAGTAGAAATCTTTTGGACATAGTAACTACAAAGTCTAGCATGTTTGCCCAGAATGAAGCCACACTGATCTGAGATACTTCAAATCATATTGTACAGAAAGTGTATTTGGTACAGCATAATCTTTCAGCAAACTACAATAAAAATAAGTTTTGATAATTTAGAGTAACAGAATAAAATTAAACTATGCCAAGGTATGTTCTCCTTTTCAATCTCACAGAAAAACTAAGATTTTTTTTCCACCTAAATAAGCCCTTTTAACCTAAAAATGTATGGCCAGGTAACACAGTCAAGACTGTCATTTGAGAACAATGTCATGATTATGGCAGTTTCAATGTTAAGCTTGTGAATTATATTAATCAAACAAGACAAGGTTGTCCCAGAGAAAATCCTGCTTTGATATTTTCTTTCCTTCTTTCTTTATAAAGATTGGTGCATGGCGTATGTGTTTTCCATACAAATTACTTCAAATAATATATGCTGAGTTTTGCAGAACCCATTTGGCCGGTTTCTAATAACCCCCCTTGGGAGCTGACACCAAGTTTCAGCAGTAGACCATCACTGCAGATTAGCACTACAACATATGCTGCAGAAGCATCCAGTTTGCCTTTCTTAAGCCAAGAAACGATATTTGGAGCATCTCACACAAGTCTCTGAGAACAGGAGTTCTATTTTATATAATGAACAATAAATATTTTGGGATCTCAAAACAAACAAATCTAACTCTCCTTTTTAGCAACTGAATTATGCACTTTACCTCACAACCTCTCTCTAAAGGACACTTTGCATTATGCATAGGTTTTTTACCTGCTAGCAAGCATGTAGAATTTTAATATTGTGCTGAGCTTGTATCTTCCCAGTTAAATGAAACAAGCAGTCTTTCATTTAGTTTGATCTTTAAAGTAATATTTGGTTTAGATGTCTGCATTGGCCACTTTAAAGGAAATCATGCCCTCTAGAATATTAACTTAAATAGTCTAAAGTAGAAAACCCATATCCACATGGGTATCATTCAATCTGCCCCAAGGAATATATAATCTTATCAGAATGGCAGAGATGGCACTCCAAATATTAGCTTGATGTGAGGTTGTTAACCCAGTAAAATAAACATTGCATCTTATGAGGTGCATTATTCTGAATTTGCTGTATATTTCAAATAAAGATATTCAAAGAAGATGCAGCCTCATTTGACCTCTTCAGCTAAAAATCAATCTATGTTATGTTACTCAGAAAAATGAACACATTTCCAAATCTACAAAGACTAGAAAGAACCGAAGATCTGTTATTTCATCTGACCTTCAATTTTCTTTTTCAGTAGGGGAAATACACACAGCTGTTTTATTAATTTATAAGCACCTGGCAAGCCTTTTCTCAATCACTTCAGCAACAGCAGAGCTAGATAAACGATAAGAGCACCATCATGTATGGTGTTTTTCAGCATTCGGTAATAACAGCAGAGGCTAAATATTTAAAACAAGTCCAATACTCACTGAAGGCAGCAACTGCCAGAGCCAGTGTGACAATAATGGAAGCCCATGAGACCCACAGTGCCTTCTTTCTGTAGCTTTGAGCTTCGTGCGGTTTTAATCTTGTGCTGCTTTCTAGTAAACCTAGCAAGAAAATTAAACAGAACAATAAAGTGCTTTCATTCATTAATCAAAATGCAACTGGGTCTGATCAGAACAAGTCAGGCATTCCCTATGTATGCTCTGTGTACTACAGTTTAGGCTAAATGCTGTTCACCATATTCAAACTATAAATAAAGGAAATGCAGGTGCATGAGGTCAGCTCTGGGCCAGCTCTGTGACTGCACTTCCCAAGAAGGTAAAAATGTACTAATTGATCCCTGGAGCACATAAAGGAATGATGAGAGTCTCACAGCTTTACAGTTGCACATCGCCTCAATTACCTCCTTCCTGATCAAATGTATTGGGGAAACAAGGGGAAAGAAAGTTAACCTGAAGCACAAACCAAAGTGTTAGCTTGATTAGGGAGTAATATAGAAGGCCTGATGTGATGCATATCTGGAAACTGGAGCATGCGTAATAGAGAGCAACAGAATCCATTGCTGTACATTCACTGCTGCTTGAATTCTTTTGTTGCTTAAATTCTAAGCACCTTACCCTCCCAGCAAAATTCAGTTAAGATTTTTTTTTTTAAGAATGACAATATATTTTTATCTTCAACTTTCTTCTCACCTTATTTCCTGCAAGAGTAGCAAATTCTTACTTTGCTTGTGGATATAATTTCTGTAATTGCTGGGAACCACAGGCAAGTACAATAAGGACTTAACAAATCATGCCAATCTATCAAATATTGAACTAGACAAAGACCCATTGAATTTGTGGGTTCAATGCCAAAAGACCAGTATGAGGATCTGTGTCTGAGATGCAGAACAAGAGAACAACATGAAAGGAAAGGAGCTTTTAGATCAGCTGTTGGCTGTTTAAATTACACTGTACATCTTCTAGCACTAGTCTTAATACTGTTGCATTAAAACCAAGCATTCTAGTCTGAAACATCTGAATCTTGCAAAAGGTTAGAATCTGTCGAATTTAACAGTTTGTTTCTTCCAACCTAAAATGATTCAGTGACCTGCTGGTTACAATTTCTGTTTCTAAAAGGCATTGTCTTATGAGAAAGTCCTTGGGGATTGCATGCAAACATCATACAGCTGTCAAATACATAAAATCAAAATAGTGTCTCAGACAACAACAGACTTTCAATTTCAGATGTGAAAATTACACCTAGAAGGAGCTATCAAATATTTAGCATATTACTAGACTGATTTATAAAACCAAGAATAGCACTGGCAAGCTATAAATAAAGTCTCAAATGAATATTTGAAGACACATCTTGTTATTCGTCGTAAACAAACATTATCATTCCAAATGCCTTTTTGTTGCATATTTTAATACACATGGTGATATAATGGATTTTATCCCATTTCTTAATTACTACCTGTATGTTATTTTAAAAAGTAAATGCTGTACAGGAACCTTCCTGCTAACAAAATTTTCATGAAGTTGGTCTTCAACATATGCAGGCTCAATAAATACTATATATTTTATAATAAAATTAAAATACCTTAAATTTGTTAATGAATTCTCAGACTCGACTTAGGTGTGCATAGGGTTTCTTAACAAAACAAAGAAAGGGGCACATTCCCTTAAAACTTTTTAAAAATTGGACAAGACAAACTTCTTCTGAAATCTTTTTTCTTCATTTATGTCCTACAAAAAAGTAAACTACAGGAAATTATATTGGTCAAAGAAAGAAAAAATGAAAGCCAGAACTGTTCCTTGCATTTTCTTGGAAGTTATATCCAAACATCACAGCTAATGCAGGAAAACAAGCATGTGGAATAAACTTATGAGTTCTTTATCTCATTTTCCACACTCACACACTTATTTTCCCTTTTACTAGGGCCTTTGATCCTCGTCATCCTCTCATATTCAGAACAATTTCATCCCAGTGTACAAAAGATACCTAATGGTAGAATTCCTATTGAAATCCCTGAAGACCAAACTCTTGAATCTGAACCTTTGAGAAAATTGACAGATATCCCCTATTAGTACTAGAGTGAATAAGCAAGATGCCTTCAAGTCTCACTTATTTTAGATTGCTCTTAATTTAAAGAGAAATAGAGAACAGAACTGCAGCCAGAATATCGCCAGAGAAAGATGGTCATCTTTTTACAAACAATGATTAGACCTGTGCACAGTAGTTGAAAAGGGAGAGCCAAGCACAGTTTCAAAGGGAGTGGAAGGAGCTGCTTGAATTCAGGGAAGCCAGGATGCCATTGTTGGGGGGGGGGGGGGGCGTCAGCGAAAGGCAAATATATACAAAGCTAATGAATAGGCACGTGCGGGGCAGGTGTCTGTCTAGGGAGACAATGGACTGCCTGTCCCTTCCCTCTAAGAAGGGGCGGGTAAACAGCATCCTTTCTTCGCTTGTGAATGGGGACGCCTGTCTGCATTTCAGTGAATGCATTTTAAATTGCATTTTCACTACGCGTGGCTCAGCACTCAGAAAGCGGGTGTCAGGGGCTTGTTTCTGCATAGAGGCAGCCCAGGCTCGGTTTCTTTGACAGAAGAAACTCAACCATCAGCTTAACTTACCGGCCGGGTGAACAGATTTTAGGAATAGACAAACAATGAGTTTACTAATGGAAATGAGCAACTACAGGAATAGCAAGAGCGCGGGGAGGGAAAATTCGGGCGCTCAGGTGGCTAAAACAATGGACCGCTGACCGGAGATGCGTGGGGAGCGACTGCCAGGTGTAGCGAGCGGGCCACCGAGGGCGGCTGAGCAGCGCCGTCGGGCCCGGGCGGGGAAGGCGTTCGGGGAGGCAGGGCGTTGCGCGCACGCCGCACAGGGCGGCGCGGGGCTGAACGAGCCCCTAGAGAGCGCGGGCGAGAGACAGAGGCGGCGATTCCGAAGCGGCGATGTGCCGGGGGGTGTGCATACGGCTCCTATAGCGGTGAGATGGCAAACCCCGGCGAAGGAAAAGTAGGCGGCGGCACTGGCCAGTGCTGGGACGCCCGCCAGGCGATGTCGAGGCAGCGCTGCCTATCGAGTGGGGCGGGGGGCGGACAGGTTGGGGGGTCCCGGCGGGACGCGAATGAAACGCCTGGGCGGGGGGGAGACGGAGCGAGCCGCGAGGGAAGGGCGGATGGAGAGGAGGCTCCTAGCGAGCCGTCGGGAAGCTGGACGTGCCGGAGGACAGGCATGTCGAAGAAGCGCCGGTGCAGAGCCTCGGAGGAGGGGAGAGGAGGGGCGGGCGGCAGGCAGGCAGAGGAGGGGGACGCCGGGCCCGCTACCTGGAGGGCGGCGGGAGGCGTCGCCCGCGCGAGCGGCTCACCTCTGTCTTCCAGCTCCTCGCTGAACTGCACCTCCTCGCCGATGCGCAGCGGCTCGCCTTGCTGCGCGTCCCGGGCAGGGTAGGCTGGCGAGGGAGCGATGCCGGGAGGCTGCACGATGACGGGCTGAGGGGTGCTGCCCGCCGCGTCCCCGGCTGCGGGTGCATCCATGGCTGGGCAAGGCGACGGGGCGCGGAGCGGCGGCGGGAGGAAGACGCGCAAGGGCGGGCGGGCGAGGAGAGAGAGGCGCCTTCTGTCGAGCGACGCGCCGGCCCACAAGCGCCTCGCTTCGCCCGGGTCGCCCCTCCTCGAGCGCACATTCACTGCAGGTGGAAGCCACCGGTGGCCTCCCTGGGCGCTCAGCTCCTCCCACCCCGCGCGCGGCGGCGGCGACGGACGCGCTCAGACGGGCGGGCCGCGGGGCCGCGGGGCCGCTTCTGGGCTCGGAGCCCCTCGCCCGCTCCGAGCCCGTCCGCAGTGTTGCGAGCGGCAGCCTCCGACTCCAGGCGAGCCGGCCGCGTGCGCGTTGGGTGGCGGGGCGGGGCGGGGCGCGGGATCGCTGCTTTTGTAGCCCCTGCGCTCCAAAACGCGTCGGTGAGGTCCAGCGCTCGTGCCCGGACCACGCGAAGTTATTTAATGCAGCGTATAGGCCACCCGATTCCTCGGGACTGGTCACGTTGCAGATCGCAAAACGCTAAAATTAGCTTCAGCTTTCGGGTTGTTACCAAAGAAAAGGGGGAATAGCTGTCAAAATACGGAGAGGTGGGATGTGTCTGACCATGTGCTCTGGCCACGCTGGTTTTCACCTGCTGGTGCCTCCGCAGGCAGCCCTCGGTCCTACTTTACCCCAAAAGTGAATCCCACTGAGTTCAGGGCAGCCTGTTACTGAGCAGTGCGTGCTTTGGGTTGTAGCCCAACCAAGCCCCACTGAAGTAAGAGAACTTTGTCTCCCAGTAAACTGCACCGCATCACGCTGAAAATCGAGCATGAATTTACCAGTCAGAAGGTAAACCGTGTGAGGTCCAACGCTGCTCATTTGATAAAAGAACAAGCTACCCGGTGTCCCTAGTAATGCTGGCCTGTGTCCGAGAGTTTTTATTAGGCCCCTTCTTAGGACAAAGCCCAGAACTGGTTTCAGGGCCAAACGCGTCTGATTTCTAGAGGCGAAATCGGAGCATCCCCGCAGGTAGGTTTGAGCAATGCAGTCAGCAAACACACATTCAGGTGCCCTTTGTGAAGGCAACAGCTCTATGCAGACATTCAGTATACACACGGAAGGGGGAGACGCGTTGGCTGTGTTAAGGTTCGTCCACCCGCATCGATTCAACCTCCACATGTCGATCAGAGCGCTGGCAGAAAGTCTTCCTCCCGTTTATTCGCGGGGGCAGGGGCATAAACCCCCACGTGCAGGGGTCTTCTCAAAAGACCTGCAAGATGCATTCGGACCATACCCTGGAACTCGGGCATAAGGAAGGGGGCGGGGCCCATCAGCACCATCACAATTCGTTGTGCTCCGTTACATTCAAGAAAAAGCAAACCATGTCGAGTTAAAGCAATCCTAAACTAAGCAGATGTTTCTTTCTTGGTATGATTACAAACGTGATACCTGTTGGGAAAAATAACAAGGCCACAATTGTTCAGCTTTGCAATCGCTAAGGAAAATTCCTGGCATGGGCCTTGCAAATGGGGGAGCTATAAAGGAGGACTGGGGATTGCAAGAGAAATCCGAGGAGGTAAGGAAGAAGCAAGGAATCCAGAGTAGATTTGGGAAGAGATCCAAGTAGGTAGGCAGTCTTCTGTTGCTGTTTTTAAAAAGAAGGAACTCTGGGAATAAGATGGGTAGAAAATGGCTCTGTATAACAATTATTGCTGTTGTCACATCCAGTAATGTTTTAGCTGGGATTATCCTTGGAGACAGACTGGAAACTGCAGTTGGTCAAGAATTCTCTGGAACTAACAGCATATTGCATAAAATCTCTATCAGAATTACTGGATACCAATTTGTTTCCACTTCTAGGTGCTGACTTTTAGTTTTAACATCAACAATAGAGGAAAAGCAATTTAATGCAGGGGGTTTAATACAATTTGGTGATTGTAAATAATCACTGAATCAATTCTGTGGAAATTACATAATTTATCTAAATTTGGAGACCCAATTATAGTTAGCAGATTCTCAGCTACAGATGTGTTTGCACAGAAAAGGAGGCAATTTTAATATTTTAAGTTTCCTTTTAGTTGAATATGGTCTTCTCTCTTAAATTACTTTTTATATTATTTCATTTCTATACAGCTCAATAGCTCAAGCTGTCTGGGTGGTTAAACAATTAACAAGTAAACAAATGCAACATGAGATCTTAGCATAGTACTAAGAATATGAGCTAGGAAGCTCCCATAATTGCATACTGCTATACACATTTACTCAGAAATGTTCCCAGTTGAACTTCATGGTATTTACTTCTGAGTAAAAGTAGGATTCCACTATTAGTCCCTATCTGCAATATGCAGCTGATACTAGCCTGCCTTAAAGATCGATTAGAAAGGCAAGCAGCTTCTTTCTTTCCATGTCATCTTTCCTATATATGGAAATAATCATGCCACATGTGATCAAAAATCTAGGGAAGCATGGAAATAGTAAAATCTCCCCTGATACTAGACAGAACAATACAGATCAGGGAGCAGCACAAAGGCAGATCAGGATCTACTGGTAGATCTCTGGGTAATGTGTGGAATCCTTTAATTATAACTGCATGTTCCCTGCACCAGACTCTGGTTAGTGGATAACAGGGTTCCAATAAAAAAAAAGGAAAGAAAATTCCTGCACATCTGAGGTCTGCCTGCAGTCATTATAGATAAACAGCTTGCAACTCACACCTGTGACAAGTCAGCTATATTTATTTGGTGAAACAGAAGACTGAAAGGGAAACAATTATTGACTGCAGAGGAAGGGCAACAAGGGGTTCAGAGATGAGGAGGTTATGAAACCAAAACATTGCATGGGCCTACAGAGATATGGCAAGCATGTGATTTTTGGAGCCTCAGTATCACAGTGGAAGTAGTTCTCCAGGTCTGGTTTGGTGGGCAGTGGGCAGGAGGTACTTTTGCTCTCAGAGTTGTTCCTCTGCAAATCTCTTCTGTGAGTGAGAAAGAGAGGAGGAGGGACATAAGGGGAAAAGGAGATGTTGATACTGCTGCTTGTACTCTGGCTCTACCCAAGATCATATGCAGCCCCTGAGGGGCTTTTCCAAGGAGCCAATGACCCCCCACAGCAAGATGGCCTTCCTCATCCTGGACTAGTCTCTGAGGATACTCTTGGCATTGAAAGCTGCATACAGTTCTGCCACGGACAGCTGCTTGGTCTTTAAAGAGGTAACTGGAGTAGCCAGATACAAAAGAGGACAAGGTTCCTGCACCTTTAATTCCTTCGCCGCAGGGATTAAGGTGTTTAAGTGCAGGTGCTGGGGCCTCTTTTGCATCTAGCCACTCTAGGATTCATATTGTAGTTTGTCTCCCTCACCTGCTAAGAAAAGCGGGTAGGGCAAGCAGTGACCTTGAGCTAGCCCAAGTCTTCCCCCTCTCACATCATGGGGGCTGAACTGTGTATTGAGAGGCTGTAATGGAAGCTCCTGTGTGCATTTAAAAAGCTAACCTGCTTTCCTAAGGGACTGAAGTATAAATCAGGCAGTCTCCAGTTGGAACTTTCTTTCAGCATAAATTCAACACAGAGTTTTCTTATAGGATTGTTCTGATAATAGCCCTCCCTAATCTGCCATAGGGATAGTGGAAACTGAGGTCTCAAAACTGGAGAGAAAGTATTCTCAAGTGGTGTCTAAAATTGTAAGGACTTTTGAAGAGCACCTAGTTGCAAGGATTATACCAAAACAGTGCATGGGGGATGCTTTGATTCTTGAAAATGCTTTATAAATGTGTAGTATTTTTATTACACCAACTAACCCTCTTTTTACAGTTATATAGCGAATGCACTCTCATAGCTTGATCAAGAACAATAACCATACCAGCACTAAGGACTTGGTAGCACCCTGTGGCTCTAATAGAAATTTATATTTCACAGCTAATAGTTGCTACCTGATGCTGGGAATGATTGATGGCAAAAGGAGAAGGGGGTGGCAGAGGATGAGGTGGCTGGATGGAGTCACTGGGGCAGTGGGTGTGAACTTGGGTGGATTCCAAGGGATGGTGGAGGACAGGAGAGCCTGGAGGAATGTTGCCCATGGAGTCATGTCTTTGCAACTAACAACAACAAATTGCTACCTATCACTTTAACAATAAAGATCACAAAACTTCAACTGGTGTATCTCAGTATAGCTAAATAAAGTAAAACAAGGTCTCAGTCCTGTGCTTCTTTACTTAGGAGGATGTTCCAGTGAAACTTTTTTCTGAGTAGACAAAGGATCACCATGGAAATTTCTCTAAGTTACACTGACAGAAGAAACTGGCTATAATCTTTCTGTTTGTTGCATACCTGTAGTATGGCTATGAGGTAGAATAGTTTGTAAATAAAAATGCTGTAAATTTGGTCTTGCATAAACTAAGGAGAATGTGTTTTTAAAATGTATTTTTCATTTATATACTATCAAACAGTTGAAGCTGTTCAGGTGGCTAACTAAACTTAAATGCATACCACAAAAAAGAGGAGAAAAATTTAACATAAGAATAAAACCACAGTCATTGCATCTGAATCAGCACAGAAGTATACCCACAGTACAGGATAAAGTGCAATTATATAACTCAAGTTTAAAAAGTTAACTATTAAAATACTGGAAAATAAAAAAGGCCAAAAGGAATAGAGAGCAGATGCCAGGTACACCTCTTTGGAGAGCACATTCCAGAGATGGGATGCTATAGCTGAAAAGCCCCTTTTCCTGGTAGGCACCTTCCTTAATTCCTTTGGAGGCAGCTTCCAGAGAAGTAACCCTGAAGATGACCTTAGGGCCTGTGTAAGTACATATGGGATGAGCTGTTCCTTCAGATAACTGGGCTCCAAGCCATTTAGGATGTTGATTGTTCATGCTAGCACTTTGGCTTGGGCCTGGAATTCAACTGGCAGCCAGTGCAGTTGGAAGAGGAGTGGCATGATATGCTCTTGTAGGCCAGTCCCCAATCTTGCTCCCCTGTTTTGGATCAGTTGACAATAACAGACCATTTTCAAAGGCAACCTCATGTAGAGCACTTTGCAGTAATTTGAACAAAAGGTTACCAGAGCATGGATTACTGTACCTAGGCTCTGTTTGTCCAGGGTCATAGTTGGTATACCAGCTTAAGCTGATAAAGTGTCCAAGCCACTGAGTCCACTTGTGACTCTAGTGACAGTTCTGGAACCAGGAGCACCCCCAAACTATAAACCTTGTCCTTTAGGGGGAATACAACCCCATCTGGGACAGGTTGAGAACCTTCCAACTGGACAGGCAAACCAACCCTAGCAGCACCCCCAACTTGTCT